ATTTTGTTGCTCCGGTACCTCATAACATTTAAACCACTATCAAAGGAGGATATTCCACTGATAGAACTACGGAATCACAGAAAAGGAAAATGGGAGCCCTCGACACTAATAAAAATAGTCGCCTTGAGCACAGCAACTTGGTGTATAGCAGAGGCTTGCCAACAGAACATTGTTATTCAGTCATCAACCATCCAGTGCATCAACAAAGAAAAAAATTGCACAAAGCATCAAACAGTGATAGGGAAACTAAGTTCTTCACAGCCAGAATTATGCTTATATCTGCAAAATCGGGAAGAGACACAGCACATAATAAAAATCACGTTGCAGGAAATCGTCTTAAGATGCTATAAGGAAACACTATACTTCACAAGAAACACCGAAGTAAGAGTGCAATACCGCAAAAGATGCCCTCATATGGGATCATGCACAGGTAAAAAGTGTGCAGCTATAACACCAGAAAGCAAGATCGAAGAATTATCATTAGCAAATAACTACTCGGGAATCACATATTGCACAGAATCATGCGGAGGATTAGGCTGTTCATGCGGTTATCCCTCTTCAGGGTGCCTTTTTTATAGAACCTACCATGTACCTGTCGACAACCTGATTTATGAAGTCTTTGAATGTCCTTCGTGGCAAGAAAAGGCAAATATAATATATGAAGAATTCCAGAACAGCAAAACAGCAAGGTACAAGGTCGAATTGGCCCCGCAAGTGATGAAACCTTTAGGAAATACTAAAATCAAAATAACTTCAATGGATTGGAACCCCATTACACTCTTATCGAAACGTTTCATAACAAATGAGAAAAACACAGCATACTTAGAAGAAAAAATCTCCTTCAGTTACGCCTGCCAAAATAAGACATTGGCAATTAACACATGCAACATTAAAGACACATGCAAATGTAATCCCGCAGAAGACTATGTGAACTGCTATTGCAGCAATAACAATGCCAGTGACAGTATGCACCTCTACAACACACTGCCAGTGCCGATACCCAACGGTGCGATAACCATAGAAGGAAAACATAAGGTACCAACAGTAAGAATACGTTCTACATCAACTGAAATAGCAATCGTACTCGATCCTTCAGTTATGTACGTAAGGCAAGAAATTACAGAATTTTCATGTCAAATAGTTCCAAAAGGAATAATAGGATGTTATAATTGTTGGAAAGGCGCAATAGCCACTTTAATTTGCTATTCAAGCGTCCGCTACGCTACAACACAGGTAGACTGTAACGCACATCAGTTTTTAATCACTTGCTCAAAGGATGGTACGGAAAATAACGTCCGTCTCTACTTCAATACAGCGCAAAT